TCCCAATGCTTTGGGAAGCCAAGGCAGGAGGATAGCTTGAGGCCAAGAGTTCAAGACCAGCCTGGGCAACATAGTGAGACCTTGTCTCTACAAAAAAAAAAAAAAAAGTTCTTTAAAATTAGCCAGGCATGATGGCATGTACCTGTAGTCCCTACTTTGGAGGCTGAGGTAGGGGGATTGTTTGAGCTTAGGAGCTTGAGGCTACAGCGAGCTATGATTGCTCCACTGCACTCCAGCCTGGGTGACAGAGCAAGACCTTGTCTCAAAAATAAAACACTCAGGAGCTACCATGTAGAGGGTCCCACTACCAAACATGGAATATTCTGAGCCTCAATAATCACTGTGATAGATTTAAAACATCAAATATGTTTTAAAACAAAACAAACAAACAAAAAAAACAACCTTGAGTTCACAATGAGACTTAAACCAAAAAAAAAAAAAAAAAAAAAAAAAGAACCCTCACTGGTCACCTTGGATGGATGGTTGGGAATCAACTAATTATTCTAAAAACTAATAAAGGGGGAACGTGGAAGCACTTATCCTATCTTTCTTATATAAACTGTACAAGAAAGTAATCCAATAGTCAATGAGAAGCTTCCAAATATTCCAGCTAAGAAATGAAGAAAGGGTAACAATTAGAATATCACATGTTGCAAACCCCTAACAAAACTATTGGTCTAGGAAATCATCAATGGCTGCTAACATTTACAAAAAGAGTAATAACTTAATATTATGTGCTCTTGGCAGGAGTATGTTAGCTACCTATGAAGTATTCCTTCCAAAACAACAATAAAAAACCAAACTGGTGTCAAATCAAGCTTCTACAGTGCCTGTTTACAAAAATAAATGAGACAGAGACATGGTAAACACCACCACAGGGATGCAATCAGCAAAATAAAGACTATGGGAAACTCTATAAGACAAATATATTACAAGAAAAAAGGGGAACAGGAAAGGAAAACCTATAAATTAAAACAGACTTAAGAGACATCAATTGGATGCAATGTATGAACCCTGATTAGAAAAAGCCAATATGAAAAAAAAAATTGTGGAATATGCAAGAGTAATTTGAACATTAATTTGATACTTGACACTGATAAAGAAATCAAGGTATTGTGTTCATGTATTTTCAAAGACCTTACTTTTCAGAGATATATACCAAAATATTTGTGGATTAAATTTTGATATTTGGGATTTGCTTCAAGGTGACCCAGAAGGGCGTGCAGTGATAATGAAACAAGACTAGCTACGAGTTGGTAATGTTTAAGGCTGGATGCTGGATACATGGCATTTCATTATATTATTCTATTTGTATATAATGAACATTACCATAATAAAGTTTTTTAGTAAAAAGCTCAAATTTGAGTTTGGATAACTGGGAGACTGGTTCAAACATACTTGGTTCTTAATGAACCATAAAAGTTACAGGATGTTCAGGCTTTTAAGCTCTGTGTTCCTACTAGGATTATTTCATTGCCAGATTCCCATGCTCCCATTATAAGAAAACCTTAAATCATAAAAATATCTTTAATGAGAATGACAAAGGAAAACAGGAAATGGAGGCAAACACAAACCATCCCAGGAATTTCTCCTCTGATTATCCTATAGAAAGGCCTACTTTCCTCTATATACGGGGTGGGGAGGGGCAAGCAATCAGCCTCCCAAAGAGATTAAAGATTGCTCGTTCTACACACTAACTGAAATTAAAAAACAGGGTGACAGGCAACAAAGAATAATGCTCTGTATTCACACAGCACTTTAACTTTTCAAAATTCTTTAACATAAATGCCACTTATCTCACTTGATCTTAACAATAACCCTATAAAATGGCAGGAGAAAAAATTTACTTCCTATTGGAAATCAACACAAAGAGGTCTCAAACCTAGTTAGTGACAGAATACAAGTCTTCTATCCCTATTCTAGTGCTTCTTACACTAATCTGTTCCCATCCTAGCCAATTTGGTTCAACTATTCAGTATGAGGAAAAGCCTGCCCAGATCTCTTTTATTACCACTAGAGTCATAAATACCTGATAATAGGGGGCTCAGTAAAGATTGCTACTGACATTTGTTGATTATTGCGCCATGCTGAACAGTTCCCAAAACTTTACTTAGCAATTTGGACAGCTCAAAATGGTTTGGAAGGCTCAGAAGTGAGAATTTTTTTTCCTATCAAAAGCTACTCATACCCAGGGGGAAAAGAGAACATCAAGTTAACAACTTAGAAGAATGTAGCATGTATGTTTGTATATCGATGTGCATGTTTTGGAAGGCAGAAATAAAGAAATAAACATATTAGCAAGAATCTTCTTTTCTAACTTAATGGATTGACACTTACCCATCTAAACATGTCCCAATCTCAATAAAAGTACAGAGTATGAACCCTGCAGACACGATGTAAGAAATCCAACTTGATTGTGAATAAAATTTAAAGTAACCCAGATTCTGTTCCCCTCTTTGTGGCTAATCTAGCTTACTGCCCACATACCATTGTGTTCCAGGCACTCATTTTAACTCACAAAACAGTAAAGGAATGGACTCCAACCAGGCGCAGTGGCTCACACCTATAATCGAGCACTTTGGCAGGCCCAAGCAAGTGGATCGCTTCAGCCCAGAAGTTCAAGACCAGCCTGGGCAACATGGCAAAACCTTGTCTCTAAAAAAAATACAAAAAAATTAGCCAGGGGTGGTGGCACACACCTGTAGTCCCAGCTACTTGGGAGGCTGAGGCAGGAGGACCACCAGAGCCTGGGAGGTTGAGGCTGTGGTGAGCCATGACTGCACCATAGCACTCCACTGTGGGCCACAGAGTGAGAACATGTCTCAAAAAAAAAAAAAAAAAAAAAAAAAAAACCCACAAAAAAAGAAAAAAGGAATGGACTCTAGGCAGGCTTAAAGCCTGGGGCCTGCTGAAAGATGCTACACCTAGGAAACTGTCTTTGAATTCATCCAGTCTCACAGCAAACACTCAAGAATGTGCTGGGTTTGCTCCAATTACTTGTGCCTGCTAAGCTGGTTCCTGGATCAGTAGAGGGATGGAGGTGGAGAGAGTCATCAGCAGCACTGAACAGGCTGTGTTGTCTGCTGAATTTCCACGTCATTTGCTATTAAAGAAATGTTACACTCTCAAACTGTGTTTGATTATTCTTTCAGCCAGTGGCATCACTGTCCTGATATGATAACCATGCAATATGCAACTATTCCCAACATTACTTCAAGTCATTAGAAACTTCTCTTAGAAACTATTACTCACTTAGGTGCTCTCCCTAGAATGTCTGAAATTCAAACAGAGGCAACCCCATTGTCACTGAAATATCTAGACTACCTGTGTATATTTGAGAAGGCAGAGAGGGCCTATCACGCTATCACTATGAATGAATGCCCCATGAACATACAAGGAGGGATGCAAATTCACTGGAGCAAATATGTGGTGTTTCTAGTACTTCCCTTTAGATGATTTAGAAATGGAATTTGGAATAGAATTAATATTTGCAAATCACCTATTGTGTATGATGCATTGTGCTAGCTACTTTATAAATCTCTTATTTAATCCCAACAGCCCTTCAAGGTATATCATATACTGCCTTTTCACAAATGAAGAAAACAAAGGTCAGGAGTTTGTTAAGTAACTCGTCCAAAGTCTTAAACCTACTACATGGCAGAGCCAAAAGTTGAACCCAAGTCAGGACAAGCATCTTTATGACCTGCTTCTTATTAACCCATTTGCTTCCCAAAGGAGTTATGATTTAAAATGATATCAGCCATAAAAATGTTTCTAATTCAATTTTCTGTGAGAAATCAATAGCTTTAATACATAGCAAAGACTACTACACCTGGAACCAACTTATTGTATTAAACCAATACCCATTTTTATATATCCTAATCTGATAGCCTATACCAAATCTCTCTCTTCAACCACTTAGACCTCGTGTACTCAGAGGAAAAGCAAAAAATGTTTTGTTCAACATCTACAGCATTTTCAAATATGTGGAATATATAAGATGCCCTCCTTATTTCAAAATATATGAATAATAATCTTACAAATTTTCTCAGACTTAGGTTTTTTGATTTTACTATAAAATGAAGAATTCTAAAACATAGGCTTCCATTTGCTGAAAGCGCTATGGAAACAGGCTGAAGTCTAATGTATCAAGCATTCCCTCTAAATTATATTAGGTAGCCTCACTAATATGAGAATATGAACAAATGGTAAAAGCTATCACTTATAGAGTACTTACTATGTGCCAAGTACTATACATGGATTTTCACTTTGTACCTTACAGAAGTCTCTAAGTTACAAGCAAAGAAACTACGGTGAGAAAGTGGTGAGAAAGTTCATATAACGTGGCCAAAGTATACAGTTAGAAAGTGGTAGATGTAGAATTCAAACTCAGGTTTGTCTACCTCAAAGTCTATTATTAATACCACCACTGCTTACTGCCTCCCAGTTCTTATCTGGTATATATATATCCCTGTCCTCAATTCTAAAACCATTATAGATATATATACCCTTATTTAAACCTATTATTAACTATATCAATTAATGTGTCCACAGTTTGTAAATTTGAAATAGTTTCTAAATGAAAATAATTAAGAACTGTCTGAAGAATTACCATTAAAAAAATTCAAATAAGGCAGCAAACTTTCATAAAATTCTGAGAGATCAAGAACAGATAATTTGCATTGACAAAAACTTTTTCACTGCTTGGGAGTTATTCTTAAATTTTAAACTTCTGAATGGCTATTATCTCCCATGTTCTGGTATTTCAAATTTCTTTATAAAAGTATAATGTCTAAAATATAACAGTTACATTCACCAAATGTGAATTCTTCAATCTATTAGAGTCTGAAGCAAAACATATAAATTTTTAAATGTATAAGACATAATTTAAAATAGCATATTATTTTCCTGTTGTTTATCAAACACATTCATTAGATTGGCTGATAGGACAACACAAGAGTCACTCACTAAGATACATCAAAGAATAGACCAAGTCTTACCTCCATTGCTAAAGCTGCTGTCTGTTGGTCATAATGATTCAGAAGATTAGGCATGAAGGTAGTATTATAAGGCAAATCTTGGCACATCCTCAAGGTAATAGGTTCACAAGAAAACAAACTGTGCCCACCTATATGCCCCACGAACACAGTCAAGGGCCAAAAAGAGAAGACAATCCAAGTCATAGCCATCCTTCCTGGGTCTGAACGAGATTCGGATGATGAGGCCTACTCAATATGTATTTTAGATATTTATACACCTGCAGGTCTCAGCTCGAAGATACTTCTTCTATATCTTACTGTTAAGTTCTTCAAACAGTTAAATACTCTTCGCACCGTCAGAGGTTTGTTAGCTTGGTCTCACAAAAGGCGTTTGTTTTTGGTTTCACAATATGGGAAAATGACATCATCTTGTCTCTTCTTTTCATTTTATTACATGGGGCACATTTGGCCAACATATCAAGTTGATCAACCACATTCCCAAACCACAGATTCCATCTTAGGAGAAGAGCTATTTCTTCCTTCGACTGAAATATCTGGAAAGTATTATTTTAAAAAAATGGGAGAAATTAGTCATTTGCTCTCAAAGTATTATGGACTTGACATTAATAATCTTTGATGAGAGATATTACACTGACCTAATAGTTAACAATATGTGGGTACTTTATAAAGATATAATTTTTCTACTTTATCATTTATGCTATAGCTACACTAAAATGATTCTTAAACAGCATTTAAGTGCAAATTTCATTTCTTCCCTCAGTTGCTTATATAACACATGGTTTAACTTCTCATCTATAATGGCAATTTTTCATCAGTCACAATATATAATTGATTCATTTTGAAAAATTCTTATGCTATTGTCTTGAATTTTATTTAAAATATAAATATTATGCTTATAACCTAAATTATTGAACTTAAAATTATATGTGTTTTAATCTTTAACAGTATATTTTTGCATTAACTGACGTAGCAGAAGACATCTGTGAAAGTGGTCTGAAAAATAAGTCAAAAGATACAGATTCAAGTCTCTTGCTAGCTGTGTGAATGTAAACATACCACTTAACTTCTATGCACCCAGAATTTTTCTTCTTGAAAATGACTCCAATACCACCTCGCTCACAGGGATGATATGAGTGAATCATTAAGACAAGGAACGCAAAGGTACTTTATAAATGGTAAAGCAGTATTAAACATTAGACATTTTAATCACTGAATTAGTTTATACAAATGCTACCTCTATCAACCAATACTGAACTGACATATAGAAGGTTCTAAAATACTAGGAAATTTTCACAGTATTACATTATATTTTAGATAGTACAAAAATTTAACAACACAGATGTAGCACTAGGAAATATTTCATCAACGAATGGTCATTACACACAGCCATGCTGCACAGAGAATAGAAATCATCCCTAAAAAGTCACAGCAGAAATAAGAATAATTCCCAGTTATTGTTTCCACGGAGCTTTAGAATTTCTAACTTGTATGTACTTCTCCAGGGGCAAACTTATGTGTGATTCTGAGAGGGTGTGGGTGGAGTGGAAGGCAGGTCTGGTATGAAAAAGGCATATTCTAAGCTATCACATTTCGATTTGGTTTAGTAACGATGTTAACTTTGCTTTTATTTCAATTTGTTTCATATGCATTGGATAGTTTTATGTTTGTTGTGGAGAGCCTAGGTTGGGAAAAGATGAGAAATTCAGGTTCAGAAATTCTCAAAGCCCCAGATTAACAGGACAACTCAAATGCTAGCACCTATAATAACTTAGATTGTGGGACCTGGAACTGCTTTGGCTTAAGCGGGGAAAGAAACTATCCTTTGTGCATTAACTATCAATGATTGGGAACTCTATGTCCCAAGCTTCAGTTACCAGACAGAAAACTATTTGGAGAAAGTAAAACAATGGCTGAATCTTCCCAATTTCTCCCTCTAGCAGATGGTCTTGACTAACGGAAGGGAAAAGTGTATGGTCCCTAGAATTAGGAAACTAAGGTTAAAAGTAAACCCTGCTCAAAAAGCCCCAAAGCTCCTCATGTTCTACATCAGAAATTTCTGAAACGGATTCTTGGCCTGCCATATTTTTTTTCTCCCCACAAATGTGGAGGTCTGCCTACAGAAAACTGATACTGGGCTGGGAGGGGTGGCTCATGCCTGTAATCCCAGCACTTTGGGAGGCTGAGGCAGGTGGATCACGAGGTCAGGAGTTCGAGACCAGCCTGGCCAACATAGTGAAACCCCGTCTCTATTAAAACAAAAAAGTAGCCGGACATGGTGGCAGGCGCCTGTAGTCCCAGATACTCGGGAGGCTGAGGTAGGAGAACTGCTTGAACCTGGGAGGCTCCGGTTGCAGTGGGCTGAGATTGCGCCATTGCACTCCAGCCTGGGTAACAAGAGCGAAACTCCGTCACAAAAAAAAGAAAAGAAAACTGATATTAACCATAGTTAAAAACATATTTATCTTAATTACCATGCAGCACAGTAACAACTATGCATATCATTAAATACATCAAATAACTGTTGAAAGTTTTATTTGATTGTAGTATTAAAACATCCATGTAAGTTCAGTCTTTGTTGTTTATTGCTTATGCAGCATATTCATCTGCCTGCAACTAAAAAAAAATTAAAGGGAACATTACTCCCTATTGAATATGTATATAGTAACACCAAGAATTTCAAAAATTTCATTTAAACTAATCTATTTTTCAAGCAGGTAGGGGTTTCAAATCAATGGTTCAAAGAATACTACCACATAAAACCTGAGGAAGAAACTAAGCAATATCTCATTCAGTTTTTTTTTTTTTTTTTTTGAGACTGAGTCTCGCTCTGTCGCCCAGGCTGGAGTGCTGTGGCCGGATCTCAGCTCACTGCAAGCTCCGCCTCCCGGGTTCCCGCCATTCTCCTGCCTCAGCCTCCTGAGTAGCTGGGACTACAGGCGCCCGCCACCTCGCCCGGCTAGTTTTTTGTATTTTTTAGTAGAGACGGAGTTTCACCGTGTTAGCCAGGATGGTCTCGATCTCCTGACCTAGTGATCCGCCCGTCTCGGCCTCCCAAAGTGCTGGGATTACAGGCTTGAGCCACCGCGCCCGGCCTCTCATTCAGCTTTTAAAACTAGCTGATATGTCCCCCTACATTCTGCCTACTCCATCTATTTTACCTGGTTTCCTCTTTTATTCCTTTTGCCTCACTTGCAAGTAAAGTATCCCACCTTCTTATAAAAGTGCTTCCTTATGTACTATGACATTCACATTACCATGTACCAAGATGCTTTTGTAAAATCTACTGCTCAGCTGTGAAAGGACAATAATCTTGATACAGAAAGACTGTAGTTTATGATTATTAAAGAAGGGAAAAAACAGCAGTGGAATTCAGTGAGACAAAAAGAAAACAGGCAAAGTACAGGTGTTAAAGAATTTTCATTTCCCCCAAAATAGCAGTTCTCTAATCTTAAAGTGTAGCAGATTCATGGATTCTCCCAGAAATCTGAATCCTGGAGAATGATATGCATTCTAATGATTACCTCAGGTTACAAGTGCTCCATGTCAGGTCTTGAGAAATGCTATCCTAGAACAGAATAATTAAAAAGAATAAAGGTATCATTTATATAATTATATACATAAAATGAATTTTAAAAATAAAAGCAGATAGGGGATAACATTTTAATAGAAACATAAGCAAAAGACATAAATTTACAAAAGAAAGACAAGTAGCCAAGAAACATATGAAAAGATATTCAACTTCACTAATAAAAAATGCAAATGTGAGATAAGATTTTTGCCAATCAGATGGGAAAAAACAATAATGATAGAACATAGTAAAGGGTGGAAGTACAGGGTAAAGAACACCTTCAACATTTCAACATTTTCAAATGCTAATAGTAAACTAGTTGGTACTTTAAAAAAAAAAAGCGGGGCTACTTACATCAAAAGCCCTTAAAATGTACACAATTTCATCCAGCAAATCTATCTTATAATTTATTCTAAGTAAACACATAAGTACACATGATGCACAACCAAAATATTAGTGTATAAAAGCTGGAAACAACCTGAACGTCTACCAATAAGAAACTGGTTACATAAATTATGGTATAAACACATGATGGAATATTATATAGTTACTAAAAATGATGAGCATAAACCTGTATTTGTGGATATGGTAAGATAGTAACAATAAATAAAAAATAAAATTTAAAAGCAGTTTACAAAACAGTATATGTATATAGCTCATTTTGTCAGAAAAAATATATGTACATGTAATATAGTAAAACTATTTCGATTGTTTAAAAATAAAATATTAAATGCTTTACGGAATTTTGTTAAAGAACCTATCATGCATTATTTTGTGTATGAAGTAATTAACTCTGCTCAATCTATAAATGTGTGCTGACTAGCTGACAAGAAAAACTACTAGTGAAATGACTGGTTTATTGACTACTAATTAAGCAACAAGCCAAGGAACACGTTACTGCTCTACCGTACCTAGTAAGAAAAGCAAATCAGTGATGATCAATATAGTAAGAGTCAAAATCTGATTTTCAATACTAAAAAAATCAGATAACCAATCAACTGAATCAAATGGTATGCACAACTTAAAAACTTTTGATAAACATTCCTGGCTGGGCACAGCGGCTCACGCCTGTAATCCAAGCATTTTGGGAGACGAAGGCGGGACGATCACTTGAGGCCAGGAGTTTGAGACCAGCCTGGCCAACATGGCAAAAACCTGTCTCTACTAAAAATACAAAAAGTAGCTGGCTTGCACCTGTAGTCCCAGCTACTCAGGAAGGGCTCGAGAATTGCTTCAACGTGGGAGGCGGAGGTTGCGGTGAGCAGAGACTGTACTACTGCACTCCAGCCTGGGTGACAAAGTGAGACCCTGTCTCAAAAAAATTAAATAAAATAAAAAATTAAAACTTTTGATAAACATTCCAAATAATATGTCTTCAATAACATAATGAATTATCTGCTTTAATCACAATCATGTGAGCATGCCATTTTTCCTAAGGTAGGGTCATCCATGGAAAAGCTGTAAGTTGAAGTTCCAGATTTGCAGGACATAGTAAAGATTCTGGCCAAAGAGATCCTATCCAAACGTAGCAAGTCATTAAATAAAGGTTAAGAGTTGTTTGGGGCGTTCTTATTGATATTATCTTCTTTTTTTATTATAAGAAACTGCAGTGTATCAACTGGAAAAACAAAGGGGGGACCTACTAGATTAACATAACTGGAGTGAGCAGCTTCAGGGGTGAGGGCCCTGCAAAAAGTGAATGCTATGCAACAGTTGCTCATGCCCTTTGTAGGGGAAAAGAGACACATTCACTTCTCCACAGAGCAATACAGAATATCTGGAAAGCTGATTTCAGACTAAGTTACTTGGTTAACATTCCATCAGAAAACAAAAAGGACTAGATACTTTAAAGTTTACACATTTCTATTTTTATGAATGTACAACATTAGGAATTTATATTTCCCAACCATTATTTATCAGGTTTTTTGATGACAAAAAGTCTTTAAAATAAAATAAACTAAGTATTTCTCCTGAAAGACAGCAATAAAGGGAAGGGATTCCAATCTTGGAAGACCATCTTCCCAGGCTGGCTGCAAAATCAGACCCAAAGAACTCGGTGGGAAATGCAGGAGGTGGCAACTGGGAAGAGGAAAGCAGACTGAATCCCAGAAGAAAGGATGATGAGAGAAGTGGGCCCTAAGGGTTTGTCAAAGGGGTTCTGCAACAAAAGATTATGTTCAGCAACTCTATTCCAATTTACACTTTCTCTACAGATAGGGCTCCATTTCATTGTTCTGTTGAGAATTTATTTTCTTGACACCTGATAAATGCAGGTAACATTTTGCATTTCAACTTGAGAAAGATCATCTAAAGGTTGTCTCAAGAAGTAAATGCTGGTTACACAGTGCCTACAGAGGGAACAGGAGGAATATTCTTTGTCTTTTTTCAGACACGTTTTCAAGAACGCATTGCAAGGATTAGCAATAACTATCTCTAAATAACAGTTCCTTCTCTTAAGAAAATTATTGTCTTGTTAGACAAAATATACACTCAGCGAACACTCATTGCTCAAATGGTACTTTCCTTTTCTTAAAGTCTATATAGTCTTTGGCCCTTTGCCTACTGGTTGCTACAAGAAAGTTTATATAGCTTCATATTTAATTCACAGGACCTAGATTCCTACTAATCTCAGAGAATCTCTTTTCTGAACTTTCCTACTTCATCTAATGTTTAAAGTCCATTTGTCATCATCTACTGATTACAACTAATAACTTAATCTTCCAATGTGTTAAGTGATTAAGGCTTAAAACACACACACACACACACACACGCACACAGAGGAAAAGTAAATCCATCTAGGTTCAAAATTTAAATGAATGGTAGGCATCAAAGTTCAGTCCAATTTAGAAATTATTAATTACTAAGACTAAAGAAGACAGAAGATCTTTAAAAATTGACCTGAAAATAAAACTGAAAAGTTAAGAGACAGATAGATTCTGGACTTTAAAATGGGCTGAAATTTCAGCCCAGCTTCTCTTAAATCTGCTATCAAAAAATTCTCTAATACCAAGTCCCTGCTTTCCATCCCCCTTAACAAGGCTGTATGGTTTGCATGCTTTGACTACGGAATTATTTTAATGAGATAAAATCTGGGGACCAGGATTTGGTTTTCAGGTCCACTAGCCTAGTTATATTCATCTCTAACTTAATGTGCAATACACTCCTTGAATATACCGAACTGTCAATAGTTCCCAAAATGATGAACTGGAAAGCAAAAAGAGGAAATTGATTTTTTGACATAGTAGGTAAAACTCTTTCCTAGCCAGTAAGAAGCTGTTACACTTCACTTGTTCCTAGCATTATAGAAATATCACTACTGAAAATCTAATTTCTTTCCTCGAGACTACCACAAAATTTCCTCCAATCTATGCTGAATAATTTATCCAGTACATATTTTCAAAATCGTTCTTTTTATTTTTGTGCACAGCTGCAGTTTTAATCATGCATAATTCTAGAATTCTGGGGATAGGAAAAAAAAAAAAAAAACTTCGGGCCAAAACCGCTCAAAGAAGTGGTACGAATTGTTTCCTACTATCTGTCTCTGAAGGAAAAGAAAGTCAACAGCAGCTTAACATCAACAAACTCACATACTCAGAAAAAGTTTTGAATATAAAATCTTAGAGTTTCACTATCAAACTAATATGAAATTTAAGTCTGTTTCCTGGGAAACAGACAACTTATTGTGAGTAAAAAACTCCTCTCTCCTTCCCCAGTGATAAAGCTTTCACTTTGTTCTATACAAAGAAAGAATGTGCACTTTGCTATTAAATTCCCTTAGCCCTCTCTACTTCAAATATCTCAATCACGGAACTCCCAAGAAATATCCACCTGAATGCTCAAAGCACAAAATAAAGCTCAGAAGCACAGAGTAGCTAGGATGAGGAAACGGCTCATTGTCCTTCTTCTCCTTTTATAAATGGGACGCTTTTACAGATTTAGGAGAAATGGAGATACAGAATTTTAGTAGTGGATGAGGGAAAAAGGATAGGAGGAAAGAGAGGGCAGAATGATAGGCTTTACCCGTAATTTACTTATTTTCCTAACAGTTTCAAACAATGGGGTGGGACGGGGGTATAGTAGAAGGGCTGCCTCTTAGTTATACTTTATCTTCAGCTCTATCCTTCCAGCCCCGCCCAGTCAAGCTCTTACACCTCTTTCCTAGGCTCTCCGACTCTGATTTTTTTTTTTAAATCTTTGTGGGTTTTCTTTTTTTCTGGAGGAAAAAAATAGTATTGATTTGTTTAATAGTAAAGACGGAAAGCAGGAGTAACCACTTCTTAATAATAGAACTAAGGATTTCTATTCCTTTTCCAGACTAAAATGCAGGAACGGCACCAGCACACCACCAAGGACTAAAGGAGGATGAGGGAAGGAGGTAACATCCCCAGGGGTAGTCAGGTCTTTGTTTCCTTGCTCATATCATACTGGCTTTACAAAGTAACTCAATTCCCATCAATAAGCATTCCCGATCAGAATTACTTCTCTAAGATGAAGCTGTGTCTGAACACTTTCCCATAGCAGTCACTGATGTGGCTGCTCTGCTGTACTGCCGCTGCATCTCCCTCAATCCAGACGGGGACCAAAATTCAAAGAGTCATTCTACACTGGGCAAACCGCCGAACCTCCTTCATGGGGCCGATCTCTCTAAATCTGAAGTCTACTCCTCTGCCTCAATTCATGGCACGTGCTTTTGTTCTTAAAAACAAAGCCAAGAAAAGCCCCCTTGGCTTATCTTACAACAGAGGGATCGAACTCAAGACTCCTAGGATGTAAAACACCTCTAGGAAAATGTTTACATGTCTTGAAAGGACATAAGGCTCCTTAACCTTGCAGGCTATTTCACAACAGCTTGATTTCAGATGCGGACCCTCGGGCATCGAGCAGTGGCCACCCCACGGCAAACCCACAGCCCGCGGAGGAGGCAGCCGGGGGAAGCTCGCGGAAGGGAGCAAGGATTTTGCAAACTGACGGACCGGCGGGGAAACTTTCAGGCGTGGGCAGGCAAAGGTGGGCCCGAAGCTGACCCGAGCCGGGGCTGGGAGCCTGGCGGCGCGCGCTTCGGGCTGCAGGGAGCCACCGGCGCATTGTCCTCCGCCCACGCCCCCCGGCGCCCCGCGCTGCCGCCGGCTCCGGCCAGGCCCCTCTCCCAGCCGCGCAGGGTCTGGGCCGGGGTGGAGGCGAAAGAACCGCGGTCCACACTCGCACAGGTTGCCGAGCGCGGGCTCAGGGCGGACAGGGTTAACCGTCTCCAGGGGCAGCTCCCCCGTCAGCCCTCAGCCCCAAACTAGGCGTCCCCGAGGCCCCCTGCCGCCACCGCGGGCCCAGGCCCCCGCTCCGCCGTCCGCCACAGCCCGGTGCCCAAGGCTTTTGTTGTGGCCGCGACGAGAGGAACGATCCCTAAGGAGGAGGCGCCGGGCTGCTGCTGGCTCCTCGGCGCGGGCTGAGGCGGAGCAGCAGGCAGCCGCGCGGCGCGTCCGCGGGCTCCACACTCGCCGCTCCCTCTCCCGCTGCCCCGGCCCAGGGGCCCACACGCTTCGGGGGGCTCACCTCAGACCCCGGCGTCTGGCTCCAAAGCGGTGGGGGCTGCACCGCCAGCCGAGGGCGGCCGCGCGTCCCTCAGGTACCCGGAGCGGCGGAGGACCGCCGGCGCGCGCCTCCCAGCGACAGCGAGCTTTCGCGAGCGCCAGGGCGCGCGGCCCGGGGAGCGAGCGCACGAGCGCGCGCGCACGCACGGGGCAGGCGCACTGAGCACGCTCGGCCGAAAGCTCCCTGCCGGAGCCTGGGCATACCGGGCTGGCCTGGCGTGTCTCGTTGTTCTCTGCCTCTCGCCCTGATTGACGTCTGGAGCTGCCCTGCTCCGGCGTGCTGGTTCCCAGCCCCGGAGGCGCTAATCTGAGATGCACTCTGGGGCCTCCTGGCAATGCACTCCCTCCCCTGATAACACGCGAGCACGGAGGTGTGATTGCAGGACCACCTACACCTGGTCTGAGAACCAGAGGTGCCGACCTCCGGACCTGGGGATTTGGGGTGCTCAAGAGGCAGATGCCCGGATGCTGAGGGTGGAATGGGGTGCAGGAGCTCTGGCCTGCTACAGAGCTCCACGCGAAACAGCATGGCAGACAGGCTACTCGCCCGGGATAGTTCATAGCCTCTTGGCCAAGACCTTTGGAAACAGGTGGAGCTGGTCGTTACTGGTGCGCGCCCCAATTTTTGCTCCTTAGGAAATGTTTCTCCTCTCCTTTTCTACATAATTGGCTTTAAAGCTGAAAGAATTCTTAAAGATCGTCTAAATTGAACCTCTCATTTTTCAGACGAGGAAAAGATCGCCCCAAAAGGTTAGATGATTTACCTAAAGCCATGCAGCGTTTTAACAACAGGGCCTGGATTCATCCCAACCTGTTGTTGGGATGAAAAGAAAAGGGCTGTTTTTCTTTTCACTGCACCGTTTAACCGTTTCTTTCTCTTCTTTTTTTGTTCCTCGTGAACCTAGATTGCATGGGCATCATTTTGTTCATTCGGTAGCACATAGAACTTAAAGAAATTGAACAATGTGAATGGACTTAGCACTATTAGAATTGTACACTTAAAATATGGTTACAATGGTGCGTTTACGTTGTGTGTGTTTTACAATTATTTTTAGAAAGGCGCTTGATACGTGTTAAGTAAATGTTTAAGAGTATTGAACTTAGACCTAGTGTTTCACATCAGAAGGTGAGCTGTGTGAACAGGCATGATAAATGAGATCTGAAATGACAGTTTCAGTTTCTCTAATAAGTAAATACTTATGCAGTAAACAATGTTTAAAATAATATTGATTCTTAGGTTGATTCTAGGCAGGGCGGTGTATCCTCTGGAGCCAGCGGTGCCTCTGTGGAGAGTGAGTGAGGGGGCAGATAGTGTGGGGGAAATCTGTGTGTATCAGATCCCTTGTAGCTGGGGAACCTCCGGAGATGCTGTGCGAGGTGCATTTTTATTCAATTTAGCCACCATCCTGTAAAGACTGTCAGGAATGGGACACATCATAGCTCAACATTGGGAGGTGGAAATGACGTAGAAATGATCACCACTGTATCAGCATGACTAAATCTCAGAAAAAGAACATTGAGTGGGGTGGGGGGGACACAAGATATATAAGTGATTATGCCTCTTTAGAAAAAAAAACAAACTAGCAATACTATACAATGTCTATGAGGGCAAACATACATATAATAAAAGCATAAAAATGGACAGAAAGGCTGCACACCAATTTCGTGACAATGACTGCCTCTAGGCAGGCAGGGAAGGGAATGAGACCTGGGAATGAGACAAAAGAAGCTTCTCCTGTATCTGTGAAATACACACAAATGTAACATTTTTTTTAAATCTCCGTGGAGAATCAAGGGTGTTTCTTATGAAAGTGTCCAAACTTTTCTTTATGTTCGAAATGTCCCCCTTAAAAGTAATTAATATTTGGGGCTGAGTGAGGTGGTTCAGGCCTATAATCCCAGCATTTTGGGAAGCCGAGGAGAGAGGATCGCTTGAGCCCGGAGTTGGAGACCAGCCTGGGGAACATAGCAAGATCCTGTCTTTACAAAAATAAAAATTTAAAAATTAGCCTGGGAAGATTGCTTGAGCCCAGTAGTTCAAAGCTGTAGTGAGCTATGGTTGTGCCACTACACTGCGGCCTGGGCAACAAAGCCATCTCTGTCTCTTAAAAATAAATAAATAAATAAATAAAAAGTAATGTTGCAGTGTCAGACATTGAGAACTCACTGTGAACACAGACAGTGTGGACGGTGTGGCTCAGGTTCTTTTGGGAGGACAGTAGTCTGATGATGAGGTGCAGGACAACAAGAGGCCCAGAAGGTGTTGGTTGAGAGGCAAGAAGAAAGAGATCTTCTTTTCAGGAATGAAAATATTCAAATCCAACAGGGCTAAAAGAGATGCTCTCTATGATCCCATCTCTCTTTCATTCCATGTTGTAACCACAAATACGAAGTCTTTAATGAGCGGGAACTTCATAGAGAGACACAGCACTCCCGACATTGTTAAAACTGGTCTCTTTCTGGATGAACCCGTTTTGAAACCATAAAAGCTAACTGGTAATACATGATAATTTAGTATTGCATCTAAGTACCTCCCCCAGGCCACCCCCTCACCGCCCCTTTCCCCAAGGCTTTGTTTATTCATTTAGGTACAACCTGGTCATGTGGAAAAAATCCCTAGGCTGGAATTCAAACAACGTAGGTTCTAATTTCAGTTTGGCCACTTACTGATCCATTTTAATCTAAGGAAAGCAACAACTTCTATGAGCTTCACTTTTTCTTTTCAAGCTGGAGATACACAAATGCTGCCTATTTAAAAACTATAAAACGGGTCAGGCACAGTGGCTCACTCCTGTAATCCCAGCACTTTGGGAGGCCAAGACGGGCAGATCACCTGAGGTCAGGAGTTTGAAACCAGCCTGGCCAACATGGTGAAACCCTGTCTCCCCTAAAAATACAAAAAAAAAAAAATAGCCGGGCATGGTGGCAAATGGTTGTAATCCCAGCTACTCAGGAGGCTGAGGCAGGAGAATCGCTTGAACCTGAGAGGCAGAGGTTGCAGTGACCTGGGATCACACCAATGCACCCCAGCCTGGGCAATAAGAGCAAAACTCCGTCCCCTAAAAAATAAAAATAAAAACTATAAAACACAACAGAAACACAGGGTTTGTACATTTAAGTCGGAGAATGCCTTCTTATTGGTTTTGGGAAACAAAGATAGTGAGGAAAGTCTTTTTTGCTGTTGTTTTGTTTTGCTTTTTTTGTTGTTCACTGCTGCTTATAAGACCTGATTTACATTGACCAAAGGACCTCTGTTCCGGAATTTTGAACTTTTTGGTATCCTCTAGCACTTGTTCATAACTCTATAACAGCTGTTAACCGTGGGAGCCTTCCATTAGGTATTTGTATATTGCACTTTCCAGTCTTCCTTTTTAGATTTCTTTTTTATCCTTGTATTCTCATTTCGCTTCTTATTACAAGACAGGCGCTCAATAAATTTAATGAATTGGACGGGATTCTAAGAGTTCCCAAATTTAGTTATTCTTATTAGGGCATGCCATCTGCTGGTTCCCTGGTGTATCTGTCAGTCAGCCTGAATTCTATAATCCAATAAATTGAAATTTGCATTTAAGCATTTGTGTGTCTGTGTGTTGGGCAATTCCTGCTGGCCCCATCCTTCCACTTCCTGTTGCAGGTGCTATTATTTCATTGAACCAGTCTCGAATTCTTCTTCCTCCAACCCTCTGTTTACCTGTTGGCCACTCTTAAAACCTGGCACAGTGGAGCCTACATTTCGCAGCTCCGGAGTGACCAGGACAGTGTGACTGGGCATACTCCGTAGGTAGGTAGGGCTGATTTGGGACACACTACGTCTTGAATGAAGGTTTTCAACGCTGCTTGTTTCAGGATCCGACGCATCTTCATTCTCGGGTTATATTGAGACATTGCAGTCCCTCCCACGCTCTCGGCCGCCACACTTGTTAATTTTATCCCCGTGCCCAATTTTGTAGCCAGCCCTCCTGGATCTCGCGGCCAATCAAGAGCCCACACATTGTTGCCTAAGAGACCCCGGATGCCAGCGACGGGATTTATAGGCGGTGATTGGGCTTGCTGGAAGCTGGGGGAGGTGAGGGGCTGGAGGGAGTCAGAGAAAAGCTGACCTAATGCAACTGTGGTAACGTCAGCGCTCGAGGCTTGAAGAGGGAGACAAGCTAAAAGAGGTGAGAGCTGTGGGCAGTGCATGAAAAAGATGGAGACTCTCTTTGGAAAGCTCCTGGGTCTCTCATGAGCCTTGTCAGTGCTCCTGGGGATTTCATTGTACCCTCTCATTTGGGCTACAGTGCAACTGCCAGATATTCATACTTGTGAAATTAACAACCCACAGATAATTATATGCGTACCAAACACTAGCTCTTTGCGTTGTATTATAGTTCTTGCTTTTTAAAAACTAGTTAAGCGGACGATGAATTCGTATTTAAATCTACCCATACCCTATTTCTTGATAATTTCCTGATAATAATTTGAGATTCCCTTGTTTGATGATATTACAGTATATGGGTAAATTCTGTTAGCAGACAGACCCAATCCTATTCTGCTCAGCGAACTCTGCATATAACCCCAGAGCCCAGTATCATGTTCTGAGTTTCACTCTACATTTCTACAATTCTACAAGGGTTTTGTTTTGTTTTTTGGTTTTTTTGGTTGGTGGTTTTGGTTTTTTTGTTTTTTGAGATGGGGTCTTGCTGTGTTGCCCAGGCTGAACTGCAGTGGTGCAATCATAGCTCACTGCAGCCTTGAACTCCTGGGCTCAAGCGATTCTTCCACCTCAGCCTCTTGAGTAGCTGGGACTACAGGCACCCACCGCCACACCCACACCTGGCAATTTTTAATTTTTTTATTTTTTTTTGGTAGAGATAGGATTTTGCTGTACTGCCCAGGCTGGTCTGGAATTCCTGGGCTCAAGAGATCCTCCTGCTTCAGCCTCCCAAAATGTGTGGATTATAGGCATGAGCCACCACACCTGGCCTACATTTCTACAAGTTGTGGTGGTGGTGGTGGCGGTTTTTTTGTTTTTCAAGATGGGGTCGCACTCTGTCCCCCAGGCTGGAGTGCAGTGGCATGATCTTGGCTCACTGCAACCTCTGCTTCCCAGGGCAATCCTCCCACCTCAGCCTCCCGAGCACACACCACCACACTCTGCTAATTTTTTGTTTTTGTTTTGTTTTTGGTAGAGACGGGATTTCACTGTGTTGCCCAGCCTGATCTCGAACTCCTGAGCTCAAGTGATTCACCCACCTCAGCCTCCCAAACATTTCTACAAGTTTTAATCCTTAAACTGCTCCCCACTTCCACTGCTGTAGTCATTTTTTCTATTGATTTAACAAATATTGAGTACCTATGATATACTACTGTGATGATTCAGGTGAGCAGTGAGCACTGAAAAACCACATAAGCCAAGAATCATCAGAGTTGTGTGGCACATTCTCAGAGTGGCCATGAGTTCAGTGTGTCTGGGCAGAGAGTGCGTAAAGGTGGGGCCGGGTGAGGCTGAAAGAGTAGATGGAGGTAAAATCATGGCAGACCTAGACTTCCGTGCAAGGAAGTCTGGATCCTGTAGCCATCAGTGAACCTCTGAAGGTTCAGAGCTGAAAAGTGACATGATCAACTGGTCTTTTAAAAAATACCTAACAGGAGACTGTGAGCTCTATTAAAGCTGACTCTTATCTTTGTACCCCTAACATCTGCCTTGTAGGTACTTAGTAAGGTGGTTAAATAATGATGACAGTGTGAAGAATGGCTTAAGGCAGGAGGTGGTGGCTCATGTCTGTAATCTCAGCACTTTGGGAGGCTGAGGTGGTGGATTGCTTGAGCCCAGAAGTTTGAGACCAGCTTGGGCAACAGAGCAAGACCTTGTCTCTACAAAAAATACAAAAACATTAGCCAGGAATGGTGGTGCACACCTGTATTCTCTGCTACTTGGGAGGCTGACATGGAGGATTGCTTGAGCCCAGGAGGTTGAGGCTATGGTGAGCTGTGATCACACCACTGCCCTCTAGCCTGAGTGACAGGGCAAGACCCTGTCAAAAAAAAAAAAAAAAAAAAAAAGGCTTAGAAGATCAAATTGGAAGTATGTGGCCAGAGGACCCATCCTTGCTATTGAAAATGAGACTAGAACCATATGTCAAGAACTAGGGTCCTAGGCCCTCTTTCTGTATTTTAATTCTAAGAAAAAGATGAATATTTGGCTGGACGCGGTGGCTCATGCCTGCAATCCCAGCACTTTGGGAGGCCAAGGTGGGCAGATCATGAGTTCGGGAGTTTGAGACCAGCCTGGCCAACATATTGAAACCCCGTCTCTACTAAAAATATAAAAATTAGCTGATCATGGTGGCAGGCACCTATAATCCCAGCTACTCGGGAGGCTGAGGCAGAAGGATTGCTTGAACCCGGGAGGCAGAGGTCATGGTGAGCCGAGATTGTGCCACTGCACTCCGGCCTGGGCAACAGAGTGAGACTTTGCCCCCCCCCCCACACCCACCAAAAAAAAAAAAGAAAGAAAAAGATGAATATTCAAAGGTAGTCCTTACAAGGAAGGAGATTACAAAAAGCAACAGCAAGATATCTGTGGAAGGAGAGGATGACAACTGGCTTTGTTTTGTTAAGTGGGGACAATTATGTTTTGTATGTGTTATATAAAAATCTCTGTAGCTGGGCACAGCGGCTCATGCCTGTGATCTTAGCACTTTGGGAAGCCAAGGTAGGCGGATCACTTAAGGTCAGGAGTTCAAGACAAGCCTGACTAACATGGGGAAAACCCCGTCTCTACTAAAAATACAAAAATTACCCAGGGGTGGTGGTGCATGCCTGTAATCCCAGCTACTCGGGAGCCTGAGGCAGGAGAATCACTTGAACCTTGGAGGCGGAGGTTGCAGTGAGCCGAGATCGCGCCACTGCACTCCAGCCTGGGCGACAGAGTGAGACTTCAGCTCAAAAGAGAAAAAAAAATCTGTCTTAATAATAGCAAGTGGTCTGTTCTGTGAGCATGTATGTGCATGCAAATACACATACTGCCTGTCTTCTGGAATGGAAGGAGGAAAATACTGTAAAAGGATAATAGCAAGAGACGAGGCAGGACATCCGCATTGGCCTATATGGCCAAGAGGGCTGCTTCCCGGGGCCAGGCCCATCTGCTGAAAACCCATCTATCTTTAAGCAGGTTGAAAGAAAGTCTAATCTAAGTGACATGTAGCTCTGAGGAACCAGGAAAAAGAAAACAACCAGTGCAGGCCCCTGGGGGAGTTACCAAGGAGAGCTACTTGTCCTCATTCAGAAGAACGTGCCTCGGATCAGTCACATGATTTCCTACACAAACTGGAAAGGAGAGAGTTGTTCAGCATAGAGCAGGGGTAAGCAAAATTTTGTGCGTATGTGCATTTTTCTAGGGGAAGAATTCATAGCTTTCATCATATTCTCCAAGAGCCATGTAGCTCTTAAGAAAGGATTCAAAACAACTCATTTAATTTTTATGTTTTTATTATTTTTTAAAATAATTAAAAAATTGCTCTTTTTAAAATAATAAAATTGCTCTTTTTAAAATAATAAAAATTGGTCTTGCTCTGTTGCCCAGGCTGGAGTACAGTGGCGCAATCACAGCTTACAGCAGCCTGAACCTCCTGGGCCCAAGCGATTCTCCCACCTCAGCCCTCTGCCCCTGCCCCAAGTAGCTGGGACCACAGGCGTGCACCACTATGCCCAGCTAATTTTCTGGGTTTTTTTGCTTTGTGTAGAGACAAGATCTCACGATGTTCCCCAGTCTGGTCTCAAATTCCTGGGCTCAAGCAGTCTTTCTGCCTCAGCCTCCCAAGTGCTGGGATTACAGGCAACAAAAAAACTAGTTTAAAAAGAAGAAATGTAGCCCAGACACGGCAGTGGCTCACGCCTGTAATCCCAGCACTTTGGGAGGCCGAGGCGGGTGGATCACCTGAGGTCAGGAGTTTGAGACCAGCCTGACCAACATGGTGAAACCCTGTCTCTACTAAAACAATAAAATTACCTGGGCCTGGTGGCTCATGCCTGTAATCTCAGCTACTAGGGAGGCTAAAGCAGGAGAATCACTTGAACCCAGGAGGCGGAGGTTGCAGTGAGGCAAGATAGCACCGTCGTACTCCAGCCTGGGCAGCAACAACAAAACTCTTCCAAAAAAAAAAAAAAAGAAGAATAAGAAGAAGAAATGTAGAAAATAAATAACAACAACAAAAACAAATATATCACTTTTTAGCTGGGGAGAGCCAGACTCAGAGGCTACACTTTGTATCTATAACTTTTTTTTTTTTTTTTTGAGACAGAGTCTTGTTCTGTCACCCAGGCTAGAGTGCAGTGGTGCGACCTCAGCTCACTGCAACCTCTACCTCCTGGGTTTAAGCGATTCTCCTGCCTCAGCCTCCTGAGTAGCTGGTATTACAGGTGCGCCACCATGCCCAGATAATTTTTATATTTTTAGTAGAGATGAAGTTTTACCATGTTGGTCAGGCTGGCCTTGAACTCCTGACTTCAGGTGATCCACCTGCCTCAGCCTCCCAAAGTGCTGCGATTACAGGTGTGAGCCACCATGCCGGCTTGCTCACATGTACTTTTATCATTAGCTGCCAGTTAATATTACTGTAATGAAATCATTTCTTTTGGCTTAGTAACTCACCTAAATATGTCTCAGATAGTTAGCTGTTGAGGCTGAGAAGAACCTGAGTGCTGATCTGAGCGCCCCTCGTTCCAGTGGCATATTGGCAGCAGACAACTGCAGGAAGGCATTGTCTTGGCACCCAAGGGGGTTTAAAACGTGGGCTTTATCTTCCTGAGAGAAAGTATTACATGTCAAATGAGAACCTCAAAGATCTCCGATAGTGTTTGGGAAAATCCCATACCAGCCAAAAAATAATGATTTAAAAAAATTATCCAAGGCCGGGCACAGTGGCTTGTGCCTGTAATCCCAGCACTTTGGGAGGCTGAGGTGGGCAGATCACCTGAGGTCAGCAATTCGAGACCAGCCTGGCCAACATGGTGAAACCCCGTTCTGTACTAAAAATACAAAAATTAGCCAGGCATGGTGGCAGGCGCCTGTAGTCCTAGCTACTCGGGAGGCTGAGGCAGGAGAAGCGTGGGAGGTGGAGGTTGAACCTGGGAGGTGGAGGTTGCAGTGAGCCATGTCTGCACCACTCTACTGCAGCCTGGGAAATAGGGCAAGACTCTTTCTCAAAAAATAAAAAATATCCAGTATCTGTTGCTGTGGGGTCATTTGTGGAGCCCATTGATCAGGCAAGCAGGCCCTGGTCCCATTTGCCATCTCTGCTACCTGTCCTTGTGAAACCCACCATCAGAGCGTGGAAAATGCAGAAACCTGCAACCCTGAGTGTATATATCAGAACTACTCTCAATCAGCTACTAGGGGAGCTGAGGCAGGAGAATCGCTTGAACCTGGGAAGCGGAGGTTGTGGTGATCCAAGATCGTGTCACTGCACTCGAGCCTGGGTGACAGAGCAAGACTCCATCTCAAAATAAATAAATCAGTTAATAAAATAAGAATAAGAATAAGCCATTGTCAGCCCAGTTGGCCTAGTTTGGTCTCATGACCATCTCTTGGCTAGGGAAGGACAGGCTACCTTAATTAATTAAACCATCAGGCTCTAAACAATGAGGGAAAAGTAATTCCTCCTGAAAATTAAAGTGCTTTAATCAAAAGGAGGCAGACATATACTGGATGACTAAAAATAGCAAATTTCCCCCAATAAACTCAAATCTGTTCATTTCCAAAGCCTTGGCTTTGTCTCTCCCGCCATGCTACCTCTTTAATACACTCTCAGGCAGGAGTTCTTGTTACTTGGATATCGGGAAGTTAAGAGGGGAGGAGGAGAGTTAATATCACAAGGGACAAGAATGAAGTGTTTCATACCTTCCTGGCCCATATAGTATGTCCTCAGCTAGCGGTGATTCTGGATTTCCCCCCAGAGTCCATTGAAAATAAAGTGGCATTAAACTGACCTGGGTCCGACTACCAGTTCCACCACTTGCTATCTGTATGACCTTGCACAGGGTGACATCAATAAGCCAAATTTTCCTCATGTGTAAAATGAGTTAAAACCCACCGCCTTACCAGATAATTGTGCGCTTCCATTGAGGAGACATATGAAGTGCTTGACATATAAGATGCCCCCAATAAATGCTCTTCCCACCCCATTCCCTCTGCCAACATACTACAAAATTATATGGTATTAGTATTGGTTTATTTATTTATTTGTTTTGAGGTGGAGTCTCGCTCTGCTGCCCAGGCTGGAGTACGGTGGTGCCATCTTGGCTCACTGCAGCCTCCAACTCCCAAGTTCAAGTGACTTTCCTGCCTCAGCCTCTCTAGTCGGTGTGATTACAGGCATGTACCACCACGCCCAGCTTTTTTTTATACATTTATTTTTAGTAGAGACAGGGTTTCACCATGTTGGCCAGGCTGGTCTCCAATCCCTGACCCCAAGTGATCTGCCCACCTCGGCCTTCCAAAGTGCTAGGATGACAGGCGTGAGCCATCGTGCCGGCTGGTATTAGTAATTTTTGTTTTCTGAGGGTTATATGATTCACTTCTTCTGATAGGTGCTGTTTTTCTTATGGAAGGATATCCAGTTGTTTCATGATGGCATTTGCACCTCCAAAAAACCTAGATGGTCCCAAAATGCAGACAAAGATGAGCACCTGGACACCCTTAAACCATCAGCTATTGAATGACCGGGTAAGTGACCAGAACTATTTTATCAATTGAATCCATGACTTAAAGGAAAAAAGATATTAAAATTTTACTTACCAAAATATGAACAGGAATTATTTAGGATTGTGTAATGGATGAACAAAAACCAAAATGAAGATATTCAAAAACTTTTACTGAACCCTTGCTATATGGGCAAAGCTGGCAATAGACGCAGAGTCCTTGCCCAAGAAGAAAATGTCTTAGATTTGTTCTTTCGCCCACTGTCACCTTCCTCTCCCACCCCACTTGCCTTTTTTCTTCCATCGCTTGTTCTCCCTAGAACCACCAGAACTGAGAAATGAGAGAGTGGTCCACGGCATTCCCCACAACCCGGTTTTCTTGGTATAGTTGAGGTTGCTGGGTAATGCTGCACATTTAATAAGATATATAAAAAGAATACATTTCAGCTGATTATTCACATTACTCAGGTTCTCTTAAGACGTTTATTTTCATGGCCGGGTGCAGTGGCTCATGCTTATAATCCCAGCACTTGGGAGGCCGAGGCAGGTGGATCATCTGAGGTCAGGGGTTCGAGACCAGCCTGGCTAACATGGTGAAACCCCGTTTCTATTAAAAATACAAAAAAAAAAAAAAAAAAAATTAGCTGGGCGTGGTCGTGGGTGCCTGTAATCCCAGCTACTTGGGAGGCTGAGGCAGGAGAATCACTTGAACCTGGGAGGTGGAGGTTGCAATGAGCCGAGATCACACCATTGCACTCCCGCTTGGGCAACAAGAGGAAACTCCATCTCAACAACAGCAGCAACAACAACAAAGACATTTATTTTCCACCTGCACTCTGGGAAGGTGCCAGCGGACTACACTAAAGGATCATGGTGGACGGCCGAGGTGTGAGAGTGACCAACCTTTAGGGGTTTCTATTCCTGCTTCAGTTAGGGACAAAATTTACCAACAGGTCTGTAAGCTCCAGTGACCAATCGCTGTATATAAGGACCACACCTATTTGGCAGGAAAACACAATCACCATGTATAAAACTGACCTCATCCTCTCGCTCCTACATACCAGTTCCTCCCCCGGTGAGAGACACTACTTTATACCAAGTCACTGAAGCCAGAAATTCTGCTTCTCCCTGTCCAGTCTGGGATTTGATTTTCCCCCAGATTACAAGCTAAAAAGTTAGCCTGTGACTTATGGAATAGAAGACTCTGCTGTTTCACAATAAAGGATGAGATTCTTGGGTCAAAACAACTTTACTTACAAGCAGCAAGTGGCGTGAACATTATGTTTGCATGGGTTCTGCTGGTCCTCCCCGTCCCACAGGTGGGATGCATAGGGCCCAGATAAATGCTACACATACAGTGGTTTGAACCACAGCTGAGGAACAGTGAGCCCAGGGCATCCACTGCTTTTCATAGTAAGCAGTAAGTAAGCCTGCTCTTGCTCCCAAAGGGAGACATTACCTCATCCCTCAAGGTTGCCTTACTGCAGACACAACCTGCAATAATGGCCCAGGTCACGAATGCTCAGGGCCTTGCTTTTTTTTTTTTTTTTTTTTTTTTGAGACAGAGTCTCACTATGTCGCCAGACTGGAGTGCAGTGGTGCGATCTCAGGTCACTACAACCTCCACCTCCCGGATTCAAGTGATTCTCCTGCCTCAGCCTCCCTAGTAGCTGGGACTACAGGCGCATGCCACCACACCCAGCTAATTTTTGTATTTTTAGTAGAGACGGGGTTTCACCATGTTGGCCAAGATGGTCTCGACTTCTTGACCTCCTGATCTACCTGCCTCGGCCTCCCAAAGTGCTGGGATTACAGGGTGAGCCACCGTGCTCGGCCACGAATACGCAGGCCCCTACATTCTTGGCATGCCAAGATGTTTCAGGGTGTGAGAGGCACACAGAGAAGTGTCTACCAACGCTCCCTTGCCACCATATGTAATTTGCCTTCCAGTACTCTGAGTCCTCCTCCCAATCTCTCATTCAGGCCTCTCTTCTCCACCCGCCTATCTACTTCCAGCTCCATTCTCAGCTCACAGTCTGCACCCTTTGCCTAGTATACTGCAGTCACCCCCTAACTGGTTTCACTGCCTCTGTCCCTGCCGATCCATCCTCTATTCTGGTCCCAGAGAGATCTTTCTAAGATTCCGATTCTATTATGTGAAACCAATAGTAGGCTCCACTCCCAAGAGTAAATTCCAACACCCCCAGGCATAGCATTGAGGATCTTTCATGATCTGACCTCAGCCAACTTCCCAGCTCCATCCCTGCCACTGCTCCTTCACATCTGATGCCCAGGCCCAGTTCAGGGCCCCCAGGTGAACCCTGCTGTCCCACACCTCCATGCCTTTGCACGTGCTCTTGCCGTTGCCTCCTATCTGAGTCAATTCAAATGTCCTTTCCTCTGTGAAGCCTCCCGCTGCGTCCTGCTTCCTTTTCTTTGCTCTCATCATTATTTACTGGCTTTCCCAGTCAACTCCCATGCATGAAGAGTTGAGATTCTGTCTTTTCTCTGTGTACCCCCAGGAACCTGGTTTGGTTCCTGAAGCATAAGAAATAGAGCCAGGGCTGGGCACAGTGGCTCACACTTGTAATCCCAGCACTTTGGGAGGCCAAGGCGAGTGGATCACCTGAGGTCAGGAGTTCAAGACCAGCCTGGCCAACATGGTGAAACCCCGTCTCTACTAAAAAATATAAAAATTAGTCAGGCATGGTGATGCACCCCTGTAGTCCCAGCTTCTCGGGAGGCTGAGGCAGAAGAATCACTTGAACGCAGGAGGTGGAGGTTGCAGTGAGTCAAGATTGTGCCACTATACTCCAGTGCCTGGGCAACAGAGTGAGACTCTGTCTCAGAAAAAAAAGAAAGAAAGAAAGAGAGAAAGAGAGAAAGAAGGGAGGGAAGGAAGGGAGGGAGGGAGGGAGGGAAATTGAATCAGAGTTCAGGTCTACTCCCTGGTACCTCTTTCATTGACTCTTGTCTTCCTGCCTCTTCATCTTTGTGTCCTTAGCCTGGATTTACCCCTCTGCCCCTCTAAACTCAACAGATGGGCTCATCCCTTGGCAAAGCTCTCATCCAACCTGAACCCTCCTGCTCGGTACTTTCTATTTCTAGTCAAATCAGTTTCTACTGATGAGCAATTTTAGGAAAGGAACAGAAGGGCCAAGGTAGAGATTGGAATAGTGAGAAATAAAATGGAGAGAGACTGAAAAAGGAAAATGATAAAGGAAATGAGGAAAGAGAATGAAAAAAAAAAAATAGAGGGACCTGTAGAAACAAAAGGAAAGGCAGAGAAAGAGGGAGAGAAAGATTCAGCCTTCATCTAGCCATGAACACCAAACAAATCTATTGAAAAAATTTTGGGAGGCAGGCACAGTGGCTCGCATCTGTAATCCCAGCACTTTGGGAGGGTGAGGCCAGTGGATCGCTTGAGGCCAAGAGTTTAAGACCAGCCTGTGCAACGTAGTGAGACCTCATCTTTATTTTAAAAAAAAAAAAAAAAAAGTAAAATAAAATATTAGCCTGGCATGGTGGTGCATGCCTATGGTCCCAGCTACTTGGGAGGCTGAGGCAGGAGGATCGCTTGAACCCAGGAGTTGGAGGTTGGGGTGAGCCACGATTGCACCACTGCACTCCAGCCTGAGTGACAGAGACCCTGTCTCTGAAAAAAGAAAGAAAGAAAATCGTTTTTATCCAGCTCAACCGTAATTTACTCAGCACCTGTTTGCAATGCTTGACACTCTCCCACAGTTTGTATAACAGCTTATCTGGTTCCCCTACCAAAACTTCAGGGTCTCATTTTGAAATCTGTCTTCGCATAGAATTGTGAAGGTTTTACACACATGTGAAAAAGTGACTTGAATTCAAATAGACGTTCATTGGATTCCTTGATTTTCAGAAATTTTCTTCGAAAAATTATGAGTCTTGATCAATTTAGCAGCTGTGGAGAAGAAAAGTGTCTTAGGAGGCAAAAAATTTCCTGAATGCCTCTTGCAGTTCGATTTTTAGAGAAGCTGATTCTGAGATTAGCATGTAGAGTGTTGACTGGAGAGGACTTTCTGGATTAACACCTGGAAAAGGAAGGAAATAAAAGGAAGAGAAAAGGGGCAGATGTGGGACAGAGGAAGAAGTTTGGCTGGAATGCAGGCTCAGTGAGGTCTCCGCTGACCCCATAGGACTCCCTGAGGCTGCCATGATGCTTCAGATAGGTTGTAAAAAAATACCTGAGGCTGGGTAATTTATAAAGAAAAGAGGTTTAACTGGCTCACACTTCTGCAGGCTGTGCAGGAAGCACAATGGCATCTGCTTCTGGGGAGGCCTCAAGGAGCTTTCCATCGTGGCAGAGGGCAAAGCAGGAGGAGGCATCTTACGTGGCAGGAGCAGGAGGAAGAGTGAGACAGGGGAGGTCCCACACACTTTTAAACAACCAGATCTCATGAGAACTTACTCCTGCTGATGACAGCGCTAGGGAGATGGTGTTAAACCATGAGAAACCGCCCCCATGATCCAATCACCTCCCACCAGGCCCCACCTCCAACATAGGGAATTACAATTTTTTTTTTTTTTTTTTTTTGAGACAGAATTTACTCTGTTGCCCAGGCTGGAGTGCAATGGCGCGATCTAGGCTCACTGCAACCTCTGCCTCCTAGTTCAAGCGATTCTCCTGCCTCAGCCTCCTGAGTAGCTGGGATTGCAGGCGCCCACCACCACACCTGGCTAATTTTCATATTTTTAGTAGAAATGGAGTTTCACCATGGTGGCCAGGCTGATCTTGAACTCCTGACCTCAGTGATCCACTGGCCTTGGACTCCCAAAGTGCTAGGATTACAGGCGTGAGTCATGGCGCCCGGCCGGGGATTACAATTTGATATGAGATTTGGTGGGGACAGAGATCCAAACCACATCATTTGTCTTACGTTGTGGCAAGGGGGAAGGGGGGAAGAGGGTCTGGTCTTTATACTTCCACACTGACCATTCAGTGGGCACCAGCTGCCTACACCCCCACCAGGTCTGACCTTGGGCAAGGCAGCTCTCTCAAGCTTGTGACTGTCAACCAGCAGCCTTCCAGCAGGTGGGGAAATAAATCCTTCCGTTCTGGAGGGGAACGAGTGCATCACAGCACTCATTGTTTCTTTAACAGATTTTTATCCAATGTAACAATCACTTCTCAAGATAATATGTATTGCATTGTCCCGAACTCCCATTCTATTCCCCAAAAAAATCATTTTTTTGGTTTAGTTAGGTTATTGTGTGGCGTAAAATTATTTTTAAAAATCTTAGTGTGTATATATACACAGAAGTATGTGTACAAATGCACAGAGTCACACACATAGAATTTGTATGTGATTATGCCAAGCCGATGTTTGTTTGTTTGTTTGTTTGTTTGTTTGTTTTTGAGGATCTTACTCTGTCACCCAGGCTGGAGTACAGTGGCACAATCACGGCTCACTGCAGCCTCCACCTCCTGGGCTCAAGTGATTTTCCTGTCTCATCCTCCCAAGTAGCTAGGACCACCAGGCTCACACCACCATGCCCTGCTAATTTTTTTTATTTTTTATTATTTTTAGTAGAGACAAGGTCTCACTATGTTGCTCATGCTGGTCTCAAACTCCTGAGCTCAAGTGAGCCTCTGTTTCAGCCTCCCAAAGCTCTGGGATTACAGGCATCAACCACCATGCCCAGCCATATCAAACTGTTAATACTGGTTTTTCCCGAAGAGTTATATGGGTGTTGGTGGACAGAGGAGGGTCTGTTAGAAGAGAGAGCTTTCATTTTCTTACTTCATACAATGCAGCAGTTTCCAATTTTAAAACAAATTAGAATATAAATATGTATCATATATTATACACACACATATTCGTACATATAAGCAAACAAAGGGCGATAACTCTGGGAATTGAAAACTCTGGTTTCAAATCAGCTGTACCAATTTTACCTTCTCTGGGCTTTATCCTCCTTTGTAAAATGAGTGGATTGGATCAGATGACCTTGAAGGTCTCTTCTGGTTCTAACATTCTAACTGTGTGAAAGGAATTAAAAATAGATGCCCAAGGAGACAGCCGGCCAAAAGGCATGCAGACAATCATTTCAAGGGGCTTCCACACTTCTAAATGAGGGTGTTTGTCACCAATGATCAGTGAAATTTTAAGGTTTCTTGGTTTTAAGTTTTTGTTTTAATTTTGTCTTTCTTCTATTCTGTAGTAAAATGTGAAATATGTAACTATCTTAGACTAAAATAAAAGTCAGGATTTTAACTTCACAGCAGGCTTTAAGCAGAGAGATTGAATTCTCTAAATTCAAATTTAGATGCCTAAAAAAAAAACAGCATCACCAGGATAGGCATATTTAACGGATTAGTAAGTTATTCAAGCACTGTGAATTTTGAGTGAAGGAATGTTTTTAAAATGTGTATTTCTTTGCCAACTAGTGTTTTAATTGAAAGTGATCTTTATCACACACACACATAGAAAGGTAACTATGGAAGGTGATGGATAGGACAATTTCCTTGACATTTCATTATGTATGTATATATCAAAGCATCAAGTTGTATACCTTAAATATACACAGTTTTTAAAAAGAAAAGAAAGTGATCCACATTTCTTTTAGAGTATGGTTCACACATGTTGTACAGTACATGTTAAAAAAAGGTGTTCTGAGAAAAAGCACCCAGTTACCATCAATCGATCATTATTTAGGGGCCCCTAAATATCTCACTCCTACATTGTAATGATGTCACACGGTGAAATATGTAACTACAGTGTCAACAGACTAAAATAACAACCATGGGATTCTGACTTAACAGCAGGCTCTGAGTAAACTGTGATATAAACAGACTGCAGCATCTTGCAAGAAAAGAAGATCCATTTTAATATTTCCATTTGGAAGAAATACTTTGTTTTCCAGCTCTTTAAAATGAAGAACCTGATTGCAAATCTTTGAAATAAAGACTTACTCCAAACCAGGGTGTGTAAGACTGTAAGTCCAACTGAGAACCTGAAGACAAAATTATCTGCCCAAAATGATACGTCTTGTCAAAGGTAGAGTCAGAACCAGATCTGGGGTCTCCTGACTTTCAGTCTAGTGTCTTTCCTCTACCCCTTGTGTCCCATCAGTTTCTGCTTGAGTTTACCTTCTGGTAAAGAGCTGGACTTGCATGGACTCTGCTTAGACTTTGTCTCATGTTTTAGCCTGTGTAGCACTTCCCAATATCCACCCCATTCCTTTTCTACTACCCTCTTGTTGACCATCTTTTCCCCTTTAAGTCAGTTTCCTTTTGTTTCCAATGGGTTACACCATCATTGGACACCATGCTTCAACTTCCTCTTGAAGCTCTGTTGTGGTCTCAGGACCTAACCTCTGCTTCTTCTTATAGTCAGACCAAAGCATGGGCAGAAGTTCATCAAGAATGTAAGGCTGGAAGTCAGAATGGGGAAGACCAAGGATCTGGTGAGGAATCAAGTGCAGTGTTGAGCTGAACACATAGTTTGGACCCAGAGATTTTTAAAATATCTGTAAATATAACCTCTTTGGTCCTCTGCTTATCCTTTCTAAAATATAGGAATCGAATAAAAAGATCTTTAGGATTCCTTTTAGCTCTAAAATTCAATGACTTCTGAAGCTTTCTTCTTGTTGTTAGTCAATCAGCAAAATGGTTTATTGAGGGCCTTCCAAGGACTCTGTACTTGAGGGTTCTATGGAGCATGTAAGAGAAAGTGGTTGTAATCTACTTGGGAAGATAAAATTAACAGACACCACTAGAGAGCAAAACAAACACTATAAAGTCTAAGTGAAGCGTGAACTATAAATGGAGTAGGAGTTGGGAGGAGAGAAATCCCTGGGCTTCAGAAAAGTGACAACACTGGTTGCACGGGTTGGGTGATGCGTGATTGATAGAGAAGAATTCAGACAATATTTGAATCCAGATATTTTGAATCTTCTGTGTTCTACAGATTCTCTTCTACTTCTTTTCATCTAGAAATTCTGAGTTTATCTGTTGCCATTATTTGAGGGTCCTGGTAGCCCAGGTGGCAGTTAGCTGCGGGGAAGGGTCTTTTTCTTCTTCTTTTATGTGCAAAAAGTGTCTGTCTGTGACAGAAGAGATTCCCTGGCCAAGAGCAAAACTGACATTTCACTGGTCCCGAGGTGGTGGCTGAACCAGTTATTTCAATTCCTATTTTGTATGTCCTTGGCAACCAGAGCTTGAGAGTTAAAAAAGGAAGGAAAACACAATCTGTGGGAAGCATAAAACCAGATCCTCAACCTCTTCCATAAAAAGAGAAGAAATAGGTCTGAGCCACCTCTCCAAGAGGGAACCTTCTTACAGCACTAGAGAATGTAGTGAGTGCCAAGAGGAGGGAAAAATATCAATCCTGATTTTGAAAGCTGACAGAGGGTGTATGGGATAAAGCAAGTGAGACATTCAAATATGTTCATTACTCTCTTTCTCTTCCTCTCTTAATAAGCCCCTTCTCTGCCACATGTACCTACATTAGTCTTCCTTTCCTCACTCACTGAAATGTGCATATGCACTGATGCTCAGAAAAGCACCTCAACACCAATATATAAAGATACTCACATTGTACTGATACATCCATAAGGATATTCATTCTCACAATCACATTCATTCAATTCAATAAACATAGATACCTGTAACATGCTCTGTAAGCACTCTGCTGGAGATGTCAAGATGAATAAGACTTAGTTTCTGTCCTAAATAGTATATTGTAATAAACTTATACCAACAAACATTCAAGTGGAAGCCCAGAGGTGTACACACACACATTTCTAATCCTACAGATGTGTACATACTTGTACACCCACTGATATGTGTATACACTGAAATAGAAAAACAGAACTGATCATTCACCTGTTTCGTAAATTCTCATACTATTAATACTGAAATATTTCAGATGGGGGAGTTTCATGTTCCTGTTTTTTTGTTAGTTTTTTCATCTCCTTTCAAATTCTAAAACTGATTTACCTTTATAATTCCATTTTTAAAATTTCTTTCCCTTTAAACAACTGTTTCTTCTTTCTTTTTCTTCTTCTTCTTTTTTTTTTTTTTACAGAGTCTGGTGCTGTCACCCAGGTAAGAAGTACAATGACATGATCATAGCTCACTGCAGCCTCAACTCCCCGAGCTCAAGCGATCCTCCCACTTCAGCCTCAGCTGGGACTACAGGGACACACCACCACACCTGGCTAATTTTTTGTATTTTTTGTAGAGATGGAGTCTGACCATGTTGCTCAGGCTGCTCTTAAACTCCCTAGCTCAAATGATCTGCCTGCCTTGGCCTCCCAAAGTGCTGGGATTACAGGTGTGAGCCACTGTACCCAGCCTTATTACTTCTTCTTTCATATGAATTATTCCACATGTAGAAACTGAAATAAAAAAAGAGAGAAACCTTGCCCAGGGTAAAAATACATAACCTCAGGAGTAAAATCTGTCTTTTTATATTCAGCTGATACAATGAATATTTATTCACAGATCCCTTAATGATATCATTCTTGTAATGGGTATTTTGAACTATGATATATGAAATTACCATATTCTTTTTTACTTATTGTAGGTATTTGAAGAAAGAAGAGCCCTGCTTGGCAAATGGGTAAACATTTAAAATATAGTTTATATTTATATTAAAAACATAATGTTTTTGCATTATGTTATGTTATCTGTTTTCATCTTTCAGGCTGCTTTTAAAAAATCAGACTGGGTGGCTTACAAATAACAGGCATTTTTTTACTCAACTTGGATAGAAAGAAAAAAACCCCAGACATTTATTTTTCATGGTTCCAGAGGCTTAGGAAGCTCAAGATCAAGGTGCTGGCAGATTCAGTGTCTGCTGAGGCCTGTCTTCATAGACAGTCACCTCCTCACTGTGTCCTCATGTGGAGAAGAGGGGGAATGAGTTATCTGGGGTCTCCTTTATAAGGACAATAATCCCCTTCTTGAGGCCCACCCTCATTTGACCTAATCACTTCACAAAGGCCCCACCTCCTAATCCCATCACACTGGGGGGTTGAGATTTCAACATGAATTTGGGGGTGACATAAACATTCAGTCTGTAGCATTATCACAGAGCCCAGAGAATTCAGCTTGGATTTAAGGGAGTGCTTCCTCATTTCCTGAGAAGCATGACAGGTGCTTTCTGTAAGTGTCAGTTAGGATTTGGTCAGGGAAACAGAAATCGTATCTTATTTTAACAGACATAATTAAATGAAAAGGATTGGTTAAGCAAATATTGGAGAACAGAAGAGACAGAAAGGGAAGGCTGAGGTTCCAGGGAGGTAGAACTGTGGGAATTAGCTACCACCAGCTCTCCTAGTACTGGGAGCTCAGAGGGAAGACCTTCAGCACCATAGGGAAGCCAGATTTCTATGGAGTAAAGCAGATGACATCACAGCCAGCTGGTTCTGATACAGCTGGCAAAACATGATGGTTCTAGGTGTATGGAAAAAAAAAGCTGGACCTTGGAATCAATGGCTACTGTCAGGGTCAAGAGTTAGGTGATCCTGATAGGAACAGCAACCAAGCAGGAGTAAGTTTCTCGTCACTCAGTTTCCCTCTAGCACCTTCCTCCTCATTGGCAGCATTTATCCGGGAGCCAGCTGTCAAAGGAGAAACATGGTGATAGAGATCCTGCCTTCTTTTATTTTTTTGAGACGGAGGTTTGCTCTTGTTGCCCACGCTGGAGTGTAATGGTGCCATCTCAGATCCCTGCAACCTCCTCTGCCTCCCGGGTTCAAGTGATTTTCCTGCCTCAGCCTTCTGAGTAGCTGGGATTACAGGCACCCACCACCACGCCTGGCTAGTTTGTTGTATTTTTAGTAGATCTGGAGTTTCACCATGTTGGCCAGGCTGGTCTTAAATTCCTGACCTCAGGTGATCCATCACCCTTGACCTCCCAAAGTGCTGGGATTATGGGTGTGAACCACATGCCCAGCCCAAAAGATCCTGCCTTCTATGCTCACAAAGTAGAGCATAGAAAGGTGGATTTGGGTCAGGTGCAATAGCTCACAGCTGTAATACCAGTACTTTGGGAGGCTGAGGGAGGAGGAGACCTTAAAGCCAGGAGTTTGAGACCAGCCCGGGCAACATAACAAGACCCCATATCTACAAAAATAATAATTTAAAAAATTAGGCAGGCGTGGTGGTGCATTCCTATAGTCCCAGCTACTTGGGATGGACGAGGCAGGAGGATTGCTTGAGCCCAGGAGTTCAAGGCTGTAGTGAGCTGTTGCACTGGTGCACTCCAGCCTGGGCAACAGAGCAAGACCATGTCTCAAAACAAACCCCAAAATAGAAAGATGAATTTGGATCTGAGGGACAATAACTTAGTAACCAGCACAGTTTACCCATTTGGCTACTCAGCATTCATATATACCCTTCTATAGATCCTGACACTTTCATACAAGAACTGTAACAATGTTATGTTTTTACCTAACAAGATACAACTGTCCTTCATCAAAAACTAGGACTTTCTCATCTGTTCCTCAAAAGGAGGGACACAAAGTCTCAATGGCCATCCCTGGATGATGATCAAAATATCCATCTCTGGGCATTTTTTTTTTTTTTGAGATTCTCTATTTTCTTTCTTCAAGAGAATAATCTACGGAGGCAGGGCTGGCTTCTATCCTGTTTTTCGTTGTACATACCTCGATGCTTACCAGGCATTAACAGATATTTTCTAAATCAATAAATAATGGTCTCTTGTTTTTCTCCTTTCCCCAAACAAACTTATTCCTTAAAATCACTAAGTCATATGGTAGCCTATGTACCCCTGCAAAAACCCAATGAATGGGGCTTAAGGGAGATATTTCTACTTTATTTACATTTCTGTCTCCATTTTAATTTTTAGATTTTCTTTGTGTATTTCATGGACTTCAAGACAGTAACATAAGAAATGCATTTTCGAAGGCCGGGCGCGGTGGCTCAAGCCTGTAATCCCAGCACTTTGGGAGGCCGAGACGGGTGGATCACGAGGTCAGGAGATCGCGACCATCCTGGCTAACACGGTGAAACCCCATCTCTACTAAAAATACAAAAAAACTAGCCGGGCGAGGTGGCGGGCGCCTGTAGTCCCAGCTACTCAGGAGGCTGAGGCAGGAGAATGGCGTGAACCCGGGAGGCAGAGCTTGCAGTGAGCTGAGATCCGGCCACTACACTCCAGCCTGGGCGACAGAGCGAGACTCCGTCTCAAAAAAAAAAAAAAAAAAAAAAAATGCATTTTCGAAAGAAAGAGAGAGAAAGGAAGGAGGTGGGGAGGGAGGGAGGGAAGGAGGGAAGAAGGAGAAATAAAGATACCAGTGTTTTTACTTAGCATTGCTTGGAATTTTCACTGTAGGCATCCAGCACTGTGTTAGTTTTAAAGTTTAATCTAGTATTAGAAGTGAAGTCATTTTTTTAAAAAGAATCTAGACAGTGAGAGATAAAATGTAATATGAATTGTATTCAATGATAGACAGTCTGGAAGTGTTTTCATATTTGGCCATAGAATTTGGCAATTTTTGTTCATTTATTTGCACATGGTTCTGTCTAATGTTCTGTACAACAGCAAATAAAACAATCAAGAGAAACTGAAAAGCTCTTCTACTTTGCTGTTTCATGCTACTACTTAATCCCCTTCCTCTCAAATCTCTGCCCTTTGATCCCTGTTAGAAAAGGCTATTGCCTCCCAAATTGAGAGAGAACACAGCAGGAGAAGTGAAGAGGGAAAGAATCTCAGATTTTCTCTCAGCTTCTGCTCTGTTGCTAGTATAAATAATAGTAATATCATAACCTATTTTAAGAAAGTAGATGACATCACTTTTAACTTGCTGGAAACAACCACAATCAGAGTTAGAATTCAAAAGAGAAACAAGGAAAACTATTTTGCAAATTGCATGACAGAAAAATGATTAATATCCAGGATATATAAAGAGTTCTTACAAGTCAATAAGAAAAATACAAATGTCCCTACAGGATAATGGGCTAATATAAGAATGAGGAATATTTAAAAAATAAATGAACACTAAGCATATAAAATATGCTCAATTTTACCAAAATCAGAGAAATGCAAATGAAAACAATGAAATTCCCAAATTCTCTCTTCCTTGCCTGTGTGGCAAAAATTGAAGAATTAGATAATATATATAACTCTTCATTATATATATTATATATATAATATACCCTGTAAGGAAGGATTCACTAGAGAGCAGGAAGATACTTTTAAACTCACTTGGAGGGAATGTAAAATGGTAAAGACCTTTTAAAGACCATTTGACAGGATCTGTTAAAATTTTAAATGCACGTACCCTTTGAGCCTCTATATTTATGTATACTAGAGATTTATTCATTCAGAACATGAAAAGGCATGAAAAGGCATGTACCAAGATACTGCTCCTCCTCCTTCTTTTTCTTTCTTCCTACTGGAAATGTATCAGTAGTAATGGTATCAGTAGTAAATTGAGTAAACAAAAAATGCTATATTCATCCTACTATGACAGAATGAGAAGACAATATGCCCTGGAGTTCATTACATATCAGGACATGTGTGGCTACATTTTGTTTATTTATTTATTATTATTATTTTTTTTTTGAGATGGAGTCTCACTCTGTCACCCAGGCTGGAGTGCATTGGCTCACTGCAACCTCCGCCTCCCAGGTTCAAGCAATTCTCCTGCCTCAGCCTCCTGAGCAGCTGAGATTACAGGCGTGTGCCACCACGCCCAGCTAATTTTTGTATTTTTAGTAGAGACAGCATTTCACCATGTCGGTCAGGCTGGTGTCGAACTCCTGACCTTGTGATCCACCCACCTTGGCCTCCCAAAGTGCTGGTATTACAGTCCTGAGCCACCACGCCCGGCCATTTTGTTTATTTTTTAAACTGCTGCATAGTATTCCCTGGGATGGGTATACTCTAATTTATTTCACTACCTCCAACTTGATGGAGATATGTGTGTGTGTGAACGTATAGGAATGCATGACCATCTTCCAGGCATGGTGGTGTGCGCCTCAAGTCCCAGCTAATCCAGAGACTAAAGCAGGAGAATTACCTGAGTCCAGGAGTTTGAAGCTGTAGTGCACCATAATCATGCCTGTGAATAGCCATTGCACTCCAGCCTGGGCAACATAGCAAGACCTTGTCTCTGAAAACAATTTTTCTTTTTTTCTGAGACGGGTTTTCGCTCTTGTTGCCCAGGCTGGAGTGCAATGGCGCAATCTCGGCTCACCGCAACCTCCTCCTCCTGGGTTCAAGCCGTTCTCCTACCTCAGCCTTCTGAGTAGCTGGGATTACAGGCATGCGCCAGCATGGCCAGCTAATTTTGTAAATTTTTTTCAGTAGAGACGGAGTTTCTCCGTGTTGGTCAGGCTGGTCTCAAATTCCTGACCTCAGGTGATCCGCCCGCCTCAGCCTCCCAAAGTGCTGGGATTACAGGCATGAGCCACCATGCCCGGCCTTAAAAATTGTTTTTTATTTTTAGTTAGAAAAAAAGGAAATGCATGAACATCAAACTTTTGAACAGTGGTTATCTCTGGGAGATGAAGTGAGATTTGATAGGGAGCAGTGTTAAAGAAGCTTTTCATTTTTTATTCTATTGATTCTATATGTGTCTGCTTGAAACT